TATTCTCAACTTAACTCAAGGTAAAGATTTTCAACAAAGGGTTTTATTTCAAGATTTAAGGCTCAAGGTTCAAAGGTTAGAACACATTGTGCTCTTTTTGTTGGACTAAAATCATGCATTGGCTAAAAAGGGATAACAACAGATGGCCTTGATCATATGACACATGCAAGCAAGCGATTCAATCATAGAAACCTGGGCAAAATCATTCATGCTTTCAACGGAATATCAATCATTCACAACACAAACTTTGGAGCTCAAAACCTCATATACAAGCTAATTCAAAGTTCCAGATAATTCAGATAAACATCCTGCTCAGCATCATAATCACAATCATAACATCATGCAGTTCACACATCTTATGAGCAACCACCTGCATATCAACATCTTATGCACCATCTCAACATCAATCAATTATAAGAGCATCATCAAGCAATACTCATCACAACACAACATCATCAAATCATTGCATCAAATATAAGTTTTAGCCAAGTACATCACAACCTATTCTAAAAACAGAAACAAATAACAAGAAAATTTTTAGAAAACTGGGTTGCCTCTGAGTAAGCGCTTCTTTAACGTTAGTAGCTTGACTCAATAAAGCTCAAGTCCAATCTTCTATGTTGGTGTTCCTCTTGCTTTCATCACACTAACTCATCAATAACTTCCTGTCCACCTTTTTGACTCTTCTAGAATACGAAGCTTCAATATCTATTACTCCATTATCGTTCAACTCTTTCACAACCCACAACTTGTTCTTGAATCTCACCGGTGTGCCAAGTTTGAGTTGTTCATCCACTGAGTCATGATGAACCATTTTCCCATCTTTTTCTTCCTCCTTAACCTATGACAAGAAAATTTTTTTACCATTGTTGATCGGCTTAGCATCTTCAAGCCTAGTCATTAGTGCATCTTCATATGCAGCTTTATGACTATTCTTCTTAACTTGAATATGCTGCTCCACATTGAAGACATTAAAGATCACCTCCCCTTCTCGGTCTTTAAGTGCTATCGTCCCATCATCCACATTGATGATTACCTTAGCCGTTTTCATGAATGGCCTTCCAAGAATAATAGGAATCTTCATGTCTTTCTCCATTTCCATTACCACAAAATCAACCATAAGGCTTTTTGGTAGATCCATCCGCCAATTGCAAAGTAACCTTAGTAGGCTTCATTTTAAGACCACCAATCCTTTCAAGCACAGATAAGGGCATCAAATTAATGTTTGACCCTATATCAATTAGGGCTTTCCCTATCTCAACATTCCCTATGACGCAAGGAATAGTAAAACTTCCTGGATCTTTAACTTTTGGAGAAAGTGCCTTCTGCAAGATAACACTGCAATTGCCCTGTACATCAATAGTTTCCTCATCTAAATATCTCTTCTTTTTTAGGACTTTCTTCATGTGCTTCGCATAAGCAGGAATTTACTGTAGTGCTTCGGTTAAGGGCATAGTAATCTCCAATTGCTTGAAGATCTCCTTAAAACGCTCATATTGCTTCTCTTTATCATTTTTTTCACACTCCTTAGGGTAAGGAAGAATCTTTTCAATTTTCTCAAATTTTTTTCTCTCCCCTCTTCTTTTCTTTCTCTTTTCTCTCAACCTCACCTATTCTCTCTTCTTTTTCTTCTTTCAACTCAACTCTTTCTTTTCTCTCCTCTACTCTCTCATCACTTATGCTCACAATAGCTTTACATTCTTCCTTAAGGTTAACCTCAGTATTAGCCCCAAATTGCTTCTCAACTTTATCCTCCAACTTCTTAGCTAGTTGACCTACCTGCATCTCTAAATTCCTTATAGTAGTTTCAGTGCTCTTGTGGTTGGAGATAGTTACCTGCATAAATTGTTGAAAAGTTTCTTCAAGCTTTGAAGTTCTATCAGATACTGTAGATATCTGTTGCCATTGTAATTGTTGTTGCGGTGATCTATTAAATTGTCCTGCTTGCCTAGATTACAAAAATTGACCTTGACCCATACTTGGGTGAGGTTTCCACCCTTGGTTGAAATTACCTTCGCGGAATTGATTGCCCTTATAGTTGGCGTCTTCTTGGGTCTCCATTAGAAAAGCACATTGACCATTGATATGATCACCACCACATAGTTCACAGAGTTTCTGTTGAACCTGTGAAACATTCTGCATTTGAGAGAGTTTCTTTGTCAAATTCTCCAATTGTTGAGTGATAATTTTATTCTATGCAAGCAAAGCATCATGAGATTGTAACTGTAGGACTCCTTTCTGCTGAGATGGAGCTCATCTTTCATTATGCATCTCATTATCATTGCATCTCATTATCATTAGTAGTCATGTTGTCAATCAATTCATAGGCTTCCCCTAGAGTCTTGCACTTGATATTACCTCCATCTGGGGCATCTAACATCAATTTGGTTTGTGAACCAAGACCTCCAGGGAAAAGAATGCTTATTGTGGCTTCATCAAATCCATGTGTGGGTGTCTTTCTCAACAAGCTTTTATATCTATCCCACGCTTGACCTAACGTCTCCTCCATGCCCTGCTTGAAAGAAGAAATTTCCTTTTTACCTTTGTTGATTTTAGATTGTGGGAAGTATTTGTTCAAGAACTTTGCAACCACATCTCCCATTCGGTAAAGCTATCTTCTGGGAAAGAATTCAACCTAATAAATGTATTTTTTTGAAGGTGCCTATAGAAACTGTTGGATATAGGAGACAACTTGTAGATAATAAGGGCTCATTATGCCCAGCTCGAGGAGGGAGTTGTATATGTTTTCCAGTACTGGAAAATCTTCAACCCATGCAGGTGGTCGGCTACCTGCTGAATAGTCACCCCCCCGGGCAACGGTACACCTGTGAAACGCAAGAGAGTCTCGAGTTTCGTGGAAATGAGCTCCTTAACGGAATCAAAAGCAAAGTCGGACGTTAATCAGTAACCGTTGTTGGTGTTTGCCGGTGATTGGTCTTTAACGGATGCAACTATTGGTGGTTGTTCTGCTGCAACCGAATCAA